GAATTTATGTTCCGCCAACTAAAGATTTTATTTTTAGAGTCAAAATTTATGTTTTTATTTGTATTTATTAATTAGACATGTGCTTCTATCATATAAAAATTATTATGTTTTTATAAGTTATTTTTATCATTCAAAATCAATTGAGATTTAAATTGTATTTTAACCATGCAACGTTTATATTAGTAACATGAATAAAATAATTTATATATTTGTAGCATATATTAAGAAAAGTAACATAAATAAAAAAAATATTGGTGTTTCTGATTTTTAGAAAAAAAAATATATGTGCCAATCATGCACAGATGTACATATAATATTTTAAGTAATGTTTGAGAATTTAATATTAAAATTTTAGATAATGAACATATTACATTTTCAAAAATTTGATCATTAGAAAAAATAACGATTTTATTATTATGAAAAATTGTATATTACCATTAGATACTAACTGTTTAATTATTATTATTATTATTATTATTATTATTATTATTATTATTATTATTATTATTATTATTATTATTATTATTATTACTACTATTATTAAAACAATTGTTTATAAGATTCTAAAGTTGTCAGACTATGCTATTAAAATAATTTACTAATTGTTTTTAAAGAAATTTGTTCATGAGATACAAAAGAAAAAGATAATATTGATGTTAAAATAAATAACTTAAAACAATTGTTCTTAATTATGTAATTTATATTTATTGTGAATTATTATTAGTTGGTATTAGCAATAACTATTATATAATATAATAGAAAAATACATGATTATACTCATTATGATGTATTAATGTGAGAAATGAAAAATATTAATGATAATTTTTGTAACCGAAAATGGAGGGAAAATGTTAGAGGTTTTATTAAATAGGTAAAATTAAATGTTATATGCTAGCAATTATATATATATAGATTAATGACATAAACTCATGTTAAACTGTGCAATAGAACCGGTTGGATAGATTTGGCAATTTTGCCCTTTCATTTTTTTGTCACGAGATTTTTTTTTTTGTCAAAATCGATTGATTTGGTCACGAGATGAATTGGACATTTTCAATTAATTGAGTAGAAATTAAATGTTAAACCGCTTGACCCTGGAAGTTTTGGGCTAGACCTAATGGGCTTCAACTAAAAAGAGTCTCGATTTGTTGATTTTATTGATTTTATTGAGATGAATTTATTGAGATGAATTTATTGAGATGAATTTATTGATTTTATTGAGGAGTTCTCGCTTTGGGATATTTTTTCTCTCTCTAGAGATAGGGTTCCCAATCTGGGATTTAACCAGTTTTTCTCATCGATTAATCCGCATCGCTCACCATTGTTAGCAGCTCAACACTGTTTATCTCCACCTCCATCCTAATTATCCCTATTTTTTTTCCCTTCAGCCTCCTATTTTCTTTTTCCCCAAAGTTTGGCGTTCAAGCTCATGGATTCTGAATTGGTTGACAAGCTCCACAAATTTGATCTGTCAAGCAAGGAGGAAAATGGGATCACCCTATCTACCAACGACATAACCCTGGGTGTACAAGAATGCTCTCGCAGTCTCATTGGAAAAATCCATGGTGAGAAAAAAAATCAATTTCTCAGGTCTCAAGGACACACTTTCTGGACTATGGAGAACTCAGAAACCATTCACGGTACGGCTTGTCGGATATAATCTTTTTCAATTCGTCTTTCAATCTGAAGAAGACAAAAGAAAAATACTGCAAGGCAAAACCTGGAGTTTTGACGGTCAGTACATTCTTCTCAAAGAATGGTCGAGCACCAGCATCAACTGGCAGGACGAAGCTAAAATTAATCTCTGGATCCAAATTCACGGTTTACCGTTACACTGGATATCAGAAGATACTGGCCTGAAAATTGGCAAGTTATTTGAACAAGTCTCAGATGTATATGTCCCGGACTTCGGAAGTATCTCAGGGAGATGGATCAAGATTTTAGCGCTAATCGACCTCAACGAACCCTTGCTCCATGGTGCTAAAATCAATCTGGGTGATGACATGGTGTGGGTCGATTTCAGGTACGAGAACTTACAGACCTTCTGTTACTATTGTGGGGTCATTGGCCATGGGGATCGAAACTGCGCCCAGAAGAAAGAAGATATTAAGCAGAATACGCACAACCCTGGTAAATTTGGAGAGTGGCTCAAAGCCAGTCTCGGTACTACTTATATAAACCGAGAAAAACCTCCGTCAGACAGAACGTTTCAAAAAACCAACAACCCCCCCAAACCATGTGAAAATGAAGATTCAAATAAAAGCACTACCCCCTCAGCTCAAACTCCATCCCCAACCATGAATATTTCCAGCCCTCAATCCTCAAAGGCTATTACCAGCCAAAAACTACCTTCACCGCTGGGTGTGGAACCTATGGTTTTAGAACCTATACCAACAGTTACACCTCCTGCTAACTTAAACCAAACCACTGATATCTCCCTCATTGATGTCACCATACTTCAAGAACCCCACTTGCTTAATCCAAACATAGCAAACATCAAAAAGCCTCTGGACCTCATTAAAAAAGAAGTCAAACCTCTACGAGCCTGTAAAATCCAAAGAAGACAATCTGCTGAAGTTAATCTCATTGAGGTTCCCGTCTCTAATCCGATTCCTTAAGCCAATACAAATAACAAAAGACCTCTCCCATCTTCTTCTGAAGGTAAAAATGGAGACTCCCCTACTGCCAAAAAAACCAAGCCTGATCAACCTCAATACCCTTTGTCTACCCAAAACCCATCTCAGTCCAACTTGGTGGAGGCGACCAGCCACAACTGGGCCCAAGTTTCCAAATGATAGTTTCGGTGTGGAATTGTAGAGGTCTCGGAGGGCCCTCTACAATTTCCCAGATAAAAGAGTCCCTAAGGACTCACCTCCCGGATTTTTTCTTTCTTTTCGAAATAAAAAAAAACAAAAATTTCGTTTTGTCTGTTTGTAAAAAGCTTCGTGTAGCTGACAACTGGTTTTTTGAAGAGCCGGAAGGCACCAAAGGGGGTCTCTTGTTGTTTTGGTCAGAAAATATAAAAATCCTCCAAATCATTAATAACCATTTCTCCCTGCAAGTCCAATTTCTTTTTGGCACCAATCCCACCCCCCTTTGGGCTACTTTTGTTCAGGCCAGCACTGACCCAAATTTCAGGGAAATACAATGGAATTATCTATGCAGATGTCTACCGAACTGGGGAAATCTTTGGCTCCTAGGCGGTGATTTCAACGACTTTCTGTCAAATTCCGAAAAGAGAGGAGGAGTATTCAGATCAGAGGGTAGCTTCTCCTCTTTCAGATCCTTCATTCACTCAATGGGCATGGCTGAAGTCCCCTTCTCAGGCTATCCTTTCACCTGGAATAATTGCCGGCAAGGAAAGGACTTTATAGAAGAAAGGCTAGACAGATTTTTCCACTCCCCAGAATGGATTCTTCATCATCCACAAACCAGAGCAAAGCATATTCATTTATTATCCTCTGACCATGCTATGATCCTTCTGAACACATCTGGAGAAAAATCACCCTTCAAGAAGAGGTTTTATTTTGATCAAAGATGGGCCAAGGAAGAAAGCTACTTATCAATTGTGTAAAAAGCTTGGACTATTGAAGATTCCCGAGGGGATCTCTTTGATATACAGGAAAGAATCAAGCAAGTCAGGATAGCTCTCTTAAAGTGGAAGAACACTCTGCAGCAAAACTCAAGAAAAACCCTTGACTCGTTGAGCGCACAACTTAAAGAGCTGCACCACAAAGGTCCGAATAGAGACTGGCCTGAATGGGAAGCCACTAAAAGGCAACTTCATATTGCCTACGCAGAAGAGGAAAAATTCTGGGCCCACAAGGCGAGATCCAAGTGGCTAAAAGAGGGCGACAAAAATACGAAGTACTTTCAAGCTTGTGTTACTCAAAGGAGGAAAACAAACAGCCTGGAGGGTTTGCTCAAAGAATCAGGCGACCCTTGCTCTTCTCAGGAGGAGATTCTCAATGAAATACAAATCCACTTTGCCAGGCTTTTCAACACAACATACCCTACTTCCAGATGGCACAGTCTTGAGGGCGTCCCCGTTTCAATTACAAATGACATGAACGCCAGGCTCACCAGGATTGTGACAGAGGAGGAGCTAAAAAGAGCATTGTGGGAAATGCATCCCACCAAAGCTCTTGGAATTGACGGTATGTCTCCTTCTTTCTTTCAAACCTCCTGGCACATAACCAAAGATTCTCTCCTTGTAGCGATTCAATCCTTCTTCACCTCCGGAAAACTTCCAACCTACACTAATAAAACAGCAATAACCCTTATCCCTAAAAAGAAAAATTCAAAATCTCTTCAGGATTTCCGACCTATCAGCCTCTCTACGGTCACCTATAAAATTATCTCCAAAATCCTCGCAAACAGACTCAAACCAATTCTTCATCTTTGCATCAGTCCAAACCAAGCTGCTTTTGTTCCCGGCAGGCAACTTCTCGACAATTTTGTCCTTGCGAACGAATGCATCCACCACCTGAAAACCAAAAGAACAGGAAAATCATGTTTCATGGCCCTAAAACTCGACATGATGAAAGCTTTCGACAGCGTCGAATGGCCATTCCTATCTGCTATTTGCAAAAAAATGGGCTTTTGTCCTCAATTCATTTCATGGATCATGACTTGTGTCACTTCTGCTTCCTTTGCTTTCAACATAAATGGCCAACCCCTTGGAAACCTTAAACCTTCTCGGGGAATGAGACAGGGCGACCCCCTCTCGCCCTATTTGTTCATTATAATCTCGGAAGCCTTTTCAAACCTCATCAAGCAAGCCTCTCTCCACCACTCATTTCAAGGCATTAAAATTAGCAAACACTCCCCTTCAGTGACCCACCTCTTTTTTGCAGACGACTCCATCATTTTTTGCAAAGCCGACCCTTTTAATGCTATCCTCATATCCAACATTCTGAAAATCTTCGGCCTTGACTCTGGTCAACGAGTAATCCTATCCAAATCTTCAGTCTACTTCTCCAAGAACACTACTACCTCTGCCCGAGCCGAGATCAGTACCATTTTGAGTGGTATTTCTACAGTCCAATCCTCTAAATACCTAGGTCTTCCCCTAGGTATTGGCTCCTCCAAGAAGGAAGCTTTCAGCTTCGTGGTCCACAATGTAACTAACAGGTTCAACTCTTGGAAAAATATTTTTTTAAGCGAAGCTGGAAAAGAAACTCTTCTTAAATCAGTCATCCAAGCTCTCCCCACCTTCACCATGTCATGTTTCAAGCTACCTATGTGCATTTGCTCAGAGATTAACAAGATCATTGCATCCTTCTGGTGGGGGAAAAAAGCGGATGGAGGTAAAAAAATCCACTGGGCATCGTGGGACAAATTAGCTAAGCCAAAAGAGGATGGAGGACTCGGATTCAAATGTCTCGTCTCCTTTAATGAAGCGCTCATTTCCAAGCAACTGTGGAGACTGCTCAATCACCCTAATCTTCTAATGAGCAAGGTTCTTAAAGGTAAGTACTACCATAATTGCTCACTTTGGGAAGCCAAGCATAGATCCACTGACTCATGGCTTTGGAGCTCGTGGCTGAAATGTAGACACCAGCTCAAAAAGGGGACATTACAAGTGATAGGCGATGGAAAGTCAACCTCTACCTGGACTGATCCATGGCTAGCTGGCACCCCCGATCTGAGCCCCACACCTAGCTTCATCTCTGACTCCAAAAGGCTGGATAAGGTGTGCAACCTGTTAAACCATGATGGCAACTCCTGGGACAAAGAGCTCATTGAACAATCTTTCACTCCCCATGAAGCTCAGCTCATCCTTTCCACGACACTTAACAGACAAAGTCACAAGGATAGTCTGATATGGAGGCCCCACAAGCTCGGGAAATTTACAGTTAAGTCGGCCTACTCACTCATCCTTCAAAGCAAGCAAGCTGCCAAATGCGTTCCAGAACCGAGTACATCAAGAATTCTTATAGCCAAAGTCTGGAAAATAACTTGGTCCATGAAAACAAAAAGCAAAATAAAAAACTTTTTATGGCGATGTTGGCATAAATTCATTGGCTCGCAAGACCAGCTTCTGCTCAAAGGAATTCAGGCTGACCCGATATGCAAAGTTTGTGGAAACTCTGAAGAATCCCTAGAACATATCCTTTTCTCCTGTCAAAGAGCGGCTAAAGTCTGGAAATTAGCAGGCATTGAATGGTCGGGTATGCAAAATCCTTCTATAACTTTTAAAAATTGGTGGACCGACATATGCAACATTCAGAAAGTCAAAAGCTTCAATGACAGAATCCACTTCTCCACTTTCATTCTATGGAGACTGTGGAAATGCAGGAATCTGTGGATCTTTAATAATCTTTGGAAATCTGAAAGAGAAATTGCTAATCAAGCCTGGAACGAATGGATGGAATTCGAGAGCATCAGCTCTCATATTACCCTTGCTTGAATTATTGTGCTTTTGATAATCTGGTAGGGCTGCTTCAATGTGGATACTAAGCTAGGAGCAATGGGCTCAGTGGCAGAGTATCTACCTATGTCTTAAAGCTGCAGTCGCTTCCCTTTTGGTGGTGTATATTTTATTTTTTTCTTATCTCTTTCTCCCAGTTTTAGTTTGTTTTGGTTCTATGGTTGCTTAGTTCTACCTTGTTTTCCTTTTGCTCTAGTTTGTGGGTTGTTCCCACTTTCACTTAGCTTCTTCATGTCAGTTAAGTCTTGTGCCTGAGTGCACGCCTTCTTGTACTCTGTAAATACTCTTTGAGTTGCTATATAATTATTCTTTTCGTTGCGAAAAAAATAAAATAAAAAGAGTCTCGATTTAAATTGACTACTAAAGCACTATTTATCAAAATTTCAAATATTATACATTTAAATGCAAAAATTTTGATTGAAACATACACACCATTTAGTTATATATATATATATATATATATATATATACACACACTGATAAAATTTCATTAATAAAAATTAAAATTAAAAAGTTTATCCACTTATAATGACATAATTATATATATAGATAAATTTTATTGACATATATTAGTTAAATTTCATTTTTAATACACTATGTTGGATGTTCTGAAAATGGTCCATCATATAGGGCGTCTCAAGAATGGTCAATTAAATTGTCATTTTAATCAAAACTCGTACAAAAGTCAACATAGTGCTAAATATGACAACTAAAAATGATCACTTTTAGTACACTATGTTGGTTATTGTACGAATTTTGATTAAATTGGCAACTTAGTGAACCATTCTTGAAGACGACGCCCTAGATGATGGACCTTTTTTCAAAAAATATCCAACATAGTAGACCATTTTTAAAATTTTGCCACATATATTAAATGTTTCAATATATACACCAAAAAGATAGATGTTCCATTACATTTTTTTAAAATATTACAAAGTTCAATAACGAATATTAGAATAAAATAAGCAATTGAATATTGTATAAAGACAAAATTAAGTGAAATATAACTTTAGTTTTAATAAAATAATTATATGTATTAAAATAATATTAAAAATGGGCTAGAGGACTAATCCATTAACATCAAAGCCTTACAAGGATTCATGCTAAACGGTATTGAAGAAACGGGGTTTGACGGGTGTGGTCCCAAGACGTGAAGTGCATCAAAGCAGAGTGAGTTTAGATGGGCCTGAGTTAGTTACATCCTGAAACTAATTGGTGGTAGGATGAGTAGCCCACTAGACTTATAAGTTAGACATATTTTCCCTGTATAGACGATGTGGGATGATAGCACACAAGCAGTCGTCCATGCATGCACAAATGAGTTGCAACCACATCAGCACAAGAACACATGCAAGAGTGAGACCAGTCAACAAGAGAATGGATGAAGAAGATTTGAAGAAGCATGATCACATGCATGGAGAGCCGTAGGATTAATATCAGGTACTATATAAATAGATGTTACCACTTTTGTAACCTAGACAATTAAAAAGAAAGAAATGGAGATGACTTTGCATGAAAATGGCTGATTCACCTTGATCTCCTTGCTGCACTTGTTTTCTTGTATTTCTCCAAAATGTCTTACACCTATTACTCTAACATGGTATCAGAGCCTGCAAACCATAAAGAGTCTGTAGTAGGGTCAGGTGAGGTGACTAGTGCATTGAACTGAGAGGGTGCAGGTGAGTTGTGTTAAGAGGTGGCAGTTGAATGAGTGTGAGCTGTTTGAGCTTGCATTGTGGTTAGAGGTGGGTAGGAGCTGTCATATCTGTGATAGCATCTATCTGCACTGTGGTTATTGAGTCCACACAGTTGACATGCTGGTCTAGTATTTGAATTTCTATAGCCCCTACCACCTCTCCCTCTGTAAGTGTTGTTCCTTCCTCTACCTCTGTAAGGAGAGAATGTGCCTCTTGAGTTGGTAGTGGGAGGGAAGGTAGAGGGGGTTCTCTGAGAGGGGGTGTTGTTCAGGGCTAGGTTGACACTAGGCAAAGAGCCATCAAGATTCACTAGAGGTTGAACAGTGGTGTCAAGCCTAGACTCAAGGCTAAGCAACATGGCATAGACTTCATTCAGAGAGTATGGTTCAATTCTGGAGACAACAACCACAGCTGGGTTATATTCACTCCCTAGGCCAACAAGGATATAGAGTATATGGTTCTGTTTTGAAACAGGTTCTCCTGCAACACCTAGGGCATCACAACATGCTTTGACCTTGCTCAGAAATTCTCTCATGGAAGTAGATCCCTTCTTGAGGGACTGCAGTTGTAGCTTGTGGTGCATGAGTCTAGCCTTAGAGAGGCCTGAGAAGTTGGACTCTAGAGAGAGCCATACCTCACGAGATGTTGTCTTGCCAACCATCATGATGAGAAGATTTTCACTGAGAGAAGAGAGGAGCCATGACATGAGGAGCTGGTCTTGTCTGACCCATGTAGCAAAATCTGGGTTGAGGGTTGGTGGATCTCCATTACCAGATGAAAGAAATCTTGGTGGAGGGAGGGAATCTACAACAATGAAGTTCTCAAGACCATAGCCGACTATGGCACTGTGGGTTTGTTGTTTCCACAACAAATAGTTTGAATCTGTGAGCTTAATAGAGATGAGCTGGTGTTGAGGATGTACTATGCTTGATGGATTTGTGTTCATGGTGTTAGTGTTGCCGTCTGAGGATGTTTGAGAGGCCATGACTCAAGATATGTTGTAGATCTGAGGTTATGGATCTGAGGTTGAGCACTTTCTTATGGTTTTGTGTCTTTGGTTTTTTTTTTTTTTTTTTTTTTTTTTTTTTTTTTTTAAATCGAGATCTGGCTATGGAAATGACCAATGATGGAGATTGGTGTGTTCCAGGAGGAAAATAAAAGATCTAGATACCATGTTACCAATGAGCTCTCAGTTCAATGCACTAGTCACCTCACCTGACCCTACTACAGACTCTATATGGTTTGCAGACTCTGGTGCTTCCAACCATGTTACCAATGAGCTCTCCAATCTCAACCTAGCATCAGAATATCAAGGCACAAATAGACTTCATGTTGGTAATGGATCAGGTTTGTTAATTTCACATATTGGCAATTCATACATTCATGATCATTCAAAACAGTCAAGGTCATTTATTCTCAAAAACCTCTAACATGTTCCCACCATCACTAAAAACCTCTTAAGTGTTTCCCAATTTGCACATGATAATTCAGTTTACTTTGTGTTTTATCTAAATCTTTGTTTTGTTAAGGATCAAGCTACACACCAAGTTCTTCTCCAAGGTTCACTTAAAGGGGGGCTTTACAGCTTTGATTTCCACAGCACCAACTCCACACCTCCATCAAGTCAGAAGACAAAGACACCACCTTTAATTTCTGCTAATGTTGTTACTTTCAATCAAAACAATGATCTTGCCCTTTGGCATTCTAGACTTGGCCATGCTGCCTTTGATGTAGTGTCTAGAGTGATGAGATCTTGTAATGTTTCAGTTTCAATGAATGACAAATTTGTTTGTTGTTCCTGTCAACAAGCTAAGTCTCACTCATTACCATCTTCATCTTTTGACACTGTATACAATTTTTCACTTGAATTAGTTCACACAGATGTGTGGGGACCCTCTCCCATTACATCTACTAATGGCTCTAAATATTATGTCTGTTTTGTGGATCACTATACCAAATACACCTGGATATATTTCTTGAAACTTAAATCTGAAGTAAAAGATGCCTATCTACACTTCAAGAACCTGGCTGAAAATCAGCTCAACCACAAAATCAAAGCAATTCAAAGTGACTGGGGAGGAAGTTTAGAGCACTTACCTCAGTTTTTTATGATTCTGGCATTAACCACAAACTATCTTGCCCATACACCCCATCCCAAAATGGAGTGGCTGAGAGAAGGCACAGGACCATTGTTGAAATGGGGTTGGCTCTCTTATATCACTCTCATGTGCCTATCCAATATTGGGATGATGCCTTTAGTGCAGCCATTTACACTTTAAATAGACTGCCAGTCAAAGCTCTTAATTTCACATCACCCTTGGAAAAACTGTATGGTCACACACCAAACTACTCTACCTTCAAAGTCTTTGGCTGCCTTTGCTATCCTAACCTCAGGCCATACAACTCTCATAAACTGCAACCAAGATCTTTACCTTCTACTTTCATTGGTTTAAGCTCAAAACACAAAGGATACAAGGTTCTCCTACCCTCAGGGAAAGTCATTGTTACTAAAGACATAACCTTTGATGAGTCACAGTTTCCCTTCACTAAAACTTCTCCTCAACAACACTCATCCTCAGATAACCCTTCTTTTGCCCTTCAGCCACCACCAATAGTAAATCAATGTCCCCCTACACAGAAATAAGCCAACAACCCTACACCCCCTCCCTCACCTCCTCCTCATCACTCATCTCCACATACATCCCCTCATACAGCCACTACGCAATCATCATCATCCACTCATCCTTCTCATAGTAACAGCTCATCCTCATCTCTCTCCACTATCCCACTGCATGTTGAATTGCCAATTGTGAGAGAAATAACAATACCTGCTATATTACCCACTAATCATAATCTTCCTGTTCATTATATCGTCACCAGGTCTAAGACAGGTTCCCTTAAACCAAAAGCATTGGCTGCTCATGTCACACCTGAGGAACCCTCATCCTATATGGATGCTCTCACCAAGCCAGCCTGGAAAACAACAATGGTCTCAGAATACCATGCCCTTCTTAACAACAAAACCTGGTCACTTGTGGTTGCTCCACCCAACAGGTCTATTATTGGCTGCAAATGGCTATTCAAGACAAAGAGACATGCTGATGGCACAATTGCAAGGCTCAAGGCCAGACTTGTTGCAAAAGGGTATAGTCAATCTGCAGGTATTGACTTCTATGAAACTTTCAGTCCAGTTGTCAAGCCAACCACAATCAGAGTGGTCCTCTCCTTGGCTCTCACCTATGGCTGGTGCATTAAGCATTTGGACTTCAACAATGCCTTCCT